CCGCAGACGTCTCCTTGGAGTACATTGCCTACCTCTGTCCGGTTCTTTCAATTATGTTCAACATTACTCACAGTGACTGATTTTCATCGCTCTCGCTTTTCTGCAGTTCTTTTATTAAATAACTACAGGCCTTCCGGTGCTCTAATCTGTATTCACTAGCTGAGTTAGATGGCTTCAGTACAATAGTACATCTAGATAGTTTCGTGCTGTGTTAAGTTACTACTGGGAGTGGCTCTATCGCTTGGACAAAGGCGAGATTAGGACTTCAATGTTACTTTACTGGCAAGCCTCAAAAGTAGGCAGTTCGCAGTGGTCGCGGGGCCAATTTACTATTGCTGGGACTCTTTGGGTCCATATTGTTTAGGTACCGGAGATGTGATGGCTCGGTCAACTCAAGATAGAATCTGTAATGGCAAAGAAATGCTACAGGAGCAAAGGCCCTTTATATAATTTACAGAGCATCACAAAATACCAGCAAGCCCTATTTCGTACAACTAAAGCGGTACACTTAGTCGTAAATCCAATGTTGGTTGGGATATTCCACAACTGTCTGATCGGCATCCAGGGATTGAGGAGCTTCCTTAGGCAATCGGTCTTGCATAATGGTCCGCCCAGGCAGAGGAAATGTGCAGAGTCGCTCCCTTAGATTATTATCAACATCGTGGGAGTGAACATCCGAGACTCCAGAATTAATTCCTACGTTGGCATGGGAGGGAAGATCCCCGAAATTTCGCCTCCATTTAGATTCAAGTGACATTAATTCTTGTATGCAAGAAAGAAGCCAACTTGCTCCTCCAGATGAGGCGATAAATTTGAGATTTCCGAGGCAAAAATCCAACTGCGACAACGCGACAGCTGGAGGGGCTCTGCTAGGACGTCGTGGGTAGGTGCCGGGATAGGCCATAATGGATGAGACGGCATAAGGTTTGCCATCGGGTGTCTCAACCCAATGCTCATCCTTTTCCGGTGGATTATGTTGATCGAGCTTCCCGTACTCATGTGTCGTAATCACATCGTATTCATTATTATATTGCCCTAGATAAGACTTTTTTGATCCACCCTTATCGCCACTTCGAGGGGACCTTTTCCTACGCTTTTTACCAAATGGAACTTTCAGTTCTCCGGCACCACTCTCTGGACTGACTTGATGATTATGCTTGACCTGGTAGCTACCGACTTGGAGTCGATCGCCTTTACAACAGAAGTAGATCTTTGATCGACAACCTATTTTGACGGTTCTGTAGCTAAATATAAACACAGTAACTCGACTACCTTTGTTTCCTGCGGATTGTCGCATAACTCGTGTACGTACCAAAGTGGTAGCACTCGAATGCAATAGATCTGTAGACCAATTTACTTGCATTTGGTAAATCGTGGGGCAGCCTGACTGTATTCCTCATCACATAATTACTACCAGTTGTCTTAAAATATGCATCAAAATGAACCTCGACTGCAATCGTACCTTCATAAATACATTCATTTGTTTTAACAAATGTTCGAAACATGTAAAGGACTTATTCCCAAACAACTCATGAAACTCTTTTGTCAAATCAACGACAACATATTCATCTAAAGTGTACGCAAATTAAATTAGAATACCATCGATTCCTGCGGTAACGGCATTGACCATTTGATCACAAAAAATCCCGTCAGACACCAAGGATGACTTAAAATCATCCGTTATAGCCTCTGGCGGATGATTGTGCAGCATATCAAATTTGAGAACCCTTAAGGATGCGCCTGTGCTAGACGCCGTAAACCTTGCTTGACAACCCGTTGGCGATCGCCTAAGTCCAAAAATATCGAGTAGACGTCAATTAACAGAGTCTTACTTTCTGGAACCACGGCGTATCCCAGCGCCATGTTTTGCACAAGCATATTGTGCATGTTTAAAGTCAAAAAGTGTATTCTCCACAGTGCCCTCGCGGTGTGGCTGGCGAGCAGTGCGGACATACCAGGTCCCAGTTTGCTGAAACAACTATGTATTTAAAAAGTAACACATACCAGTTCCAGTGTTTGCAAAGCGTTGTCAAATTGGGCCTGAGTTCGAAAATTTTTTGCACCAAAAATAGACGTGAATACGGCAGAACAGTCCATGTAAGGACTTATTCGATAAAAAAAGCACAAAGTATGGAAAGTAATACCAAGGATAATAAATACACGTGCGACCACTCTACTCAACCAGAAGGTACTTGAATTTCACAATCATAAGCACACACTTCTATTTCGCAACTCTTTGAAAAGTGCGGTAAACAATACCCAAAAAATACTCACTGACAGTTTGTCAAAACTAGTCATGGTCAAGCTATTATGTGTTCTGTCTTAAATTTTAGAGTTGCAATTTTACAAACTTTTAATAAAAACATTAACCAACAATCAACTGTACAATTAATTTAACCTAGCAAGTTTGCCAATATCAGTTAATAGCGAAAGCCCTACTCTTGCTGACAAAAATTCTTATTTTATGATTTAAATGTAATTTAAAAAATTAAGATTATGATCTGTGCGTTCGCATGCACAATTTATTTACAAGTATAATGTTCACATCTTGGTTCATTTGTTTGTTTTATGTTAATCCCTATCTTAATACCGACATTAATCTAAATTTCTACAAGAGATTTAGAAAACAGAACATTATGCCCTATTGAATGTGAATAAGCCTTCTTAGGTAAATTCAAAAATCGGAAATCGCTGTCGTTCTTACAAATTTAATCCTTAAATGTTGGCGTGATGCCCTTGCATCTGAGGCAATTCTTTCTAATAAACGATTTAAAAGTCTTCACCAAAATGTCTCTGCATTTTGCAAGCGGACGGAACTCATGCAAAGAAAGTTTAGAAATTAATGACAAGCAGTGGTTTTTTTTGCTCAAAATTATTTCAAGCATTTTTCGAATATCCCTTTCATTTATAAATTTACCGTTGGCCTTTAATAACAGTCCCGAGACGCACTGTCGGGTTTGGTGTAAAACATCACGAAAAGTTTGTGAATTGCACATGCTTTATCAACCGGTGGTTGTATACTATTTTAGTTCCTTAACACAAATATGTTGCGAAAATAATGACATCTGTGCGGTAATCGTTAGGTAGCAGTTAAAAATGCAAGGGATTCTTACTCTACGCAAGTTGCAACATTAGCTAGAACCTGCTAAATCTACAACAGAAAGGACTGCTTAACAATCTCTTATCTTCTCCGACAAATTGTGAGGGGAACCGGGGTCCAGACTACAAACGAAACTAGCAGGTCATTACGTGTTTTGAACCCTGGAAAATACTTTGACCTACGAATAAGTCTTTCTGCTTTTCGATGTTCTTATGACCGTCCCACCAGTTGATTTAGTACCCTCCAATGAACCCTGATCTATATTACCTATTCGATTTCTGTCTAACGAACTCCATTTTTGCCCTTCTTTTTTCAATACAGCCAGCAAAATATTAAAGCAAATGCAACCACGATTAGCCTAAATTAGGTTTACACCAAAATTCTGCATTATCCACATCACCAGAAGAAAAGTGCGGACAACTAGATGCACCAATCTCACCCACAAACTATCACCTGTGCAATCTTAGATCTTTTGACATAGCTGCAAGTCGTTAAACCCAATGGTAGACAACTAGGAATCTACGAGTAACTACTACTCCATTAAGTACTTTTAGACTAACTACTTGTAACTAAAACATCTGTACCATCCTAATCGGCGGAAACTGGTGACACTAGTTTAACAAAGATTTACGTGCAAGGCCACAGGTAAACAGCTGAAGCCTTACAGCACCGACTGCATACGTCATTCATTGTGACTGATTCTTACAGGATAATGCATGAACGACGATAACTGGGAAATTATCAAACGCCTAGAAACTAGGTAATGTTGGTCTGACTTAAAAGGCGACTTTTGAAACCCCTAGACCCTCCAGTTTTCGGTGACAATCATTTTACCCGCCACGAAGAAATAAATGATAACTTATAAAACAATAAATTTCTCTTTGAGTAATACATTCAGCACAAAAGGACAAATGCTCCGTTAAATAGGCGCAAATCTTGATAAACTACCCAAAGCTTCAAAAATGACATCGCGTGCATGCTGAAAGCAACTAAGAGCAGGAACTAAATGATTCAAACGTGCTTTTTGGAAAGACGAGACCAGATAGTCATTAATTTCCAACTAAAGTAAAGAGAGAAAGAATGAATTTGGATACAGATGGAGAAAAAAATGTAGATAAGGACTACAAACGGGAAATTGAATAGATTGTGTCTTGACTGCTTCGTGTAGTAATAATCCATGAGTTCGTACGCTCTTAAAAAACACCCCATAACGATAGGGACAAAACCGAAAACGATCGTCCCAAGAAGCGAAAGTCTGATGAGGTAAACTTTGTTCTTTCCAAATGAAAGGTATCCAAAAAGTACGGGCAAAACGCTGCCGAAAGCCCAGGCGTATTCCCACAGGTCATTTGGAGGAAGAGGATACTTAAAGGGATATGAAAATAAGTGATCCATACCTTCCTCATAAAAAGGCGTGAAACTAGTCCGAATTTGAATAGGATGTCAGGGAGGAGCTTCATTGCAACTAGGAACCATAATGCAATATGAAGAAAAAACGTCGTGCGCAAGCGTTTCTTAAATAGAGAACTAAAATTAAATGATAAAAAAGACATATATGATTTGCCTTTGGCTGTATGGTTCAACGACACGCTCACGGTGTTGGAAATCTGAACCGTCTGACCCAATAGGCCGGGCGCCACAACGCGAAGCCATTTACCTAAAAGAACACTGAACAACCTTAACGTTAAAGTTGATCGAAATTGGCGCCTTTATGCTACGTGATACCAAACAGAAATATCACATTTGGTTTTTTTGATAAATTATTAGGTTTGACAAATTTTCAAAGTATTACAAATTTTAAAATTTATTACAGTGCAACTTGCGTACAACTAAACAGAAATTAGGGCATTTAATCAATTACCTGCAAAATGAAAGAAAACGCCTTAACTGCCAAAATTTAATGCTAACAATTGCAAAACATGCACTCTAATCAAACAAGAATGATGTAGGTCAGTCACTGTGAGTAATGTTGAACATAATTGAAAGAACCGGACAGAGGTAGGCAATGTACTCCAAGGAGACGTCTGCGGACTATGACAAGACGAGGGTGAGAATATGTATAAATGCAATGAAAGGGTCCATTAAGTTTTCTAGACAGCTGGGAGAGACCAGCTGATGCAGCTCTTATCTGCACTTGTAGTGATGAAAGATAACTGATTTGGATGCCAACGAGCCTGGATCACTTTGTCCTTGTGCTGAGCTGTCTGGACGCAAGCCAGCGGCTGGGAAAGGTCACCTGAAGCAGACAAGTGCTTTGATAAATTAGAGTTCCATAAGAATACAGCACCAGGACCTGTTGTTTGTAGTCTGTTAGAGGTGCTGACGCCCTGCAGGCATTTAAACCAGTCACGTCTGAATAGCAGCGAGGATGACAGCTTGCTCGAGTACGCGCGCGACACCTTGGTGCAGAATTACGCACAATCGATAGTCATGCTCTAGAGTAGTCCATGACCAACGAAAAACTAAAAGTACCCAGCGAATAGTATAGATTGTAGGGTGCGAGAGTATGCTCAGGCGTGAGAAGGCGCTTTGAACGCATCAGTCGCTTACGGAGATTTGATCATTGACCAGATGGAGTATGCTAGACTAGATTCAGCAAAATGTCCTGTACACTTAAAAGTGAAATCATAAAACTGTACGTACCAATTTACCAAGCTGCATGCAGCGTGGCAAAACACAGTGCATGCATGCGAACAGATCACGCAACATTTACCCAAATGAATTTAGGGGGCATTGATATCAAGTACATTTGATCAAAGTAAGTTCGCGAAACGTTAACAAAGCAAAAGGCTTGCAAACATGATACTCATAAGCAACTAAATATGGTGCCACTTCCATCCTGGGTCGTCTGAGTAAATATGCACACGCAGGTAATTATGTATCGTGTCTGCATCTGGTATGGCAAAGGAGACCTCCATTCAAGACGATTGTCCTCTTGCGTGTGACAGGGGTAAGGAGCAG